ATATAGAGAGAGAGAGAGAGAGAGAGATAGGTATGTTATAGATTTTCAAAACAAGAATAGCTAATTAACAATGGTTGATATATTATCTACTTTTATCATCAAATCTGTTGCTCAGATTAACATGTAGTTATGTAAGATTGGACATACTACTGAATATTACCACTTGCCTTCAAGAAATTTTATATTTTTGTTGTCTTTTTTCTTTTATTACCTTGTTTTAAAAAATGATTTTAAAGAGAGTAATTAATATAACGTCAGAAGTGGTACACATTTAGAAGACCAAAATAACAGGTATTCAAGCATGATTTTATGTATTACACATTGCTGTCCTCAGTGTAGTTGCTTAGTTCACAGATATCAACATACAGAGTTAGTCAAGGTGAAAATTCTACACATCAACTACTACTTTCAAAAAACTGATGGAAATTCTTAGTACAATCACTTCAGCCATCCTGTATATGTATTTGCATGTGTATAATCTGCTACAGTGACATAATAGGTATTTAAAGATTCACGATGTGTAAATGTATCTGTCCATCCATTTAATGAGGCTTCTGCTATGACCACCTTAAGCTCTTCTCTGTGAGGATGAATATGTAACAGAACTTTGAGATCCTAGGATCCGTATTTTGGAAATGCTTAGGTAAAATCAAGAGCACCCACTGCACATGAAATAAAATAAAACTATCCAGTTACATGAATGAAGCCATCTAGGTTGAATTTTCAAAATCTATGGTGCTTAGTACCAGCTCTGACTATTTTGTGTAAATTTCTAGATACACTTAATGTTTTTCTTTCCTAAAAGACCACAGGAAATTAAATATCTTCAGATCTAGTCATTGCCCACCTGAAACACATTTCTTGTGAAACAATTATTTTTCTCTTACACTGATTTCCTAATCATTGTTTTTGCTACTTGCTATCAAAGAAATGAATCATTTTTCCTGCATTACTTCACAATGAGTGAATCATAACAACAGGGGAGTTAACAAATTAGCTGCATGAAGACACTCTGACATATTTTAAAATTTCCATTTCCTCAGATTAGTGGAAGCATTATCGTAACTTTTTGGTGCAGTGGCAAATGAAGTTTGCCAACAGCATTATGCCCATAGGAGTAAAACTGAATGTACACACAAGAAAATACCCCCTGACTAGGTCAGTTACAGGTCTGTACAGGCCAGTTACAGGTCTATTCAGCAGCTGTAAAACACAAGTTATGTATCTCCTCTGAAGTCATCCTATTATTAATTAGCAAGATGCCCAACATTGGTGACATTGCACAGTTGCCAATAAAATTGAAGAACATCCCAAGTCAAGTGAAACATAATGCAACCTGAGCTCCCATTTGTAGGGGACTACAAATGTAGGAAATCTTCAAAGTGTAACTGTCTTTCTTAGAAGACAGATTTTGATGACACTGGCTTGAGAATCAAATAGTCCTGTCTCTCATCCCCGTAGCCTACGTCTGGGGACTTCTCTGCCTAACTTCATCCTAACAGTCATTCTCACTGTGGTTCTTCATTTTCTCCTGCAAGTTGTTTAAAGAATAGTTGGGTGTCATTGAAAGGAGAAGATGTCGCATGGTCCATGTGGCTTAGGATGGAAATGTAAAATTAGGTGTAGGGAGCAGATAAAGCTAGACATTGGTCATATATGTTGGGGTGAAGTAAAACCAGTCAGATAATGAAGAGTGTCTTAAGCTGTCAATCTACTTTGCTCCTAAAACTTCTCACATAAGACAATTCTAGTCATTAGTTCCTAGGCAACCCTGTGTCTCATGATACCAACTTTGTCAAATGAATAAATAAATGTCCCTATGGTAGTTATTCATTCCTTTTTCCCCATCTGTTGGGATGGCTTCACCTGACCCCAGCTTTCGTCTCTTATCTTATTTTCTTGAGGCTCTCAGTCCACCAGGAACATCAAGAGTTATGCAAGATACAGCACTGAGATATGTTTTAGGTTTTTGGTGACCACAGAGAATTTGATTTTTGACTCAATTTACCTCCTGAGGGGAAAAAATGTACTCCCTTGGTTCTGGTTATGATGTGAGTTTGGAAGAAATCCTTCCCCAGGTTAGTAGAAGAAGAAAAGTCAGGCTCTATTGTGCCGGAGCCATCCTGTGAGCCTTGTGCCTGGTCAAAGGACAACTAGGATGAAAATCAAAAACATACAGAATTATGTGAAAATGTGGGGGCCATGAGGGCTCTTCTCTCCCTTCATCAGAGACCTCTGACTGACTGCAGCACCCTACTTTTACTCCCTCAGACACATTACAAGCAATTACAGTAAAACAGGATTTGTCTGCCTTCTACCATCCATAGTCCATGTTCAAATACACATTAGGATCTCAGTTGGATTAACTGACCCTGCAAATGGCAGCCTGGACTCACACTGCCTTTTTCCCTAGTGTTCACAGGAAAGGCCAACTAGGCCTTAATCTTCCTATCTGTTCTCCCACACTACTGCTCCTCTTTACCTTCTTTTTATTTCTTCATTATGGGCAATATTGGCCTGAACAATAACAATAGTATTTTGGACTGCTAATACTATTGAACATAGCCTTGCTTCCCAGTGATTTGCCTTAGTGTATACACGTTAGTTATGACACTAGCAAAGAGAGGTATAATCATCCCTGTGATAAATGCTTACTGCAAGGCACAGAGAAATTCCATGATTTCCCCAGAGTCACACAGCAAGTCGGTGGCACTGCCAAGATTTAAAACTGTCTGCATCAAGGCCATGTAGTTTTCTGGATGCTTTTTAGATTACCTTGGGAAGTTCTAACTTGTTTTATGGTTCTTTGTGGTTTTCATTAAGTTGCATTACAGAAGCATAATTCTTAGGAGAAAATAATTTGTTCAGAAATAATATTAAATATTGTGGAGAACTTGTAAGTTACCTCCAGATTAAGAGAAATAACTCATTTAGATTACTACATAGGAAAATAAAAATGTACAGTTAGTGTGTAAGTGAATTATAACTCATAGGAGTACAGATGTGAGTGGTTATTTACAGATATCAGCACTTTTGATGTAGTTTGGATACTAAAGGAGTCAATTTAAAAGACATATGAGCTTTCAATTCAATTACTGAGTTCAAATGTTATTATTTAAGCAGGTACTTGTTTTCAAAAATGTCTAGGCAGCACAGTATCCTTGTGCCCACTTGCAGAGTGAAGAAATACTTAGAGGCAAGAACAGGGTGTTTACCAGCTCCTATTCCCCCCAGTTTGGCGGTCTCTTTACTCATTGTTTGGTTTTTGTCATTTTTTCCCATCTCCCTAAAGATCCTAATGATATAAACCCTAGAGAGATACAAACTCAGTTGCATTGTTGATGT